GACACCTCATGGGCCATCCAGTCCAACCCTCTGCAAAGAAGCAGGAAAATTGCATTTAAAGCACCCCCAACAGATGGCCATCCAACCTCTGTTTAAAAGCCTCCAAAGAAGGAGCCTCCACCACACTCTGGGACAGAGAGTTCCACTGCTGAACGGCTCTCACAGTCAGAAAGTTCTTCCTCATGTTCAGATGGAATCTCCTCTCTTGTAGTTTGAAGCCATAGTTCCGCGTCCTAGTCTCCAGAGAAGCAGAAAACAAGCTTGCTCACTCCTCACTATGACTTCCTTGCACATATTTATACATGGTTATCATGTCTCCTCTCAGCCTTTTCTTCTTCAGGCTAAACATGCCCAGCTCTTTAAGCCACTCCTCATAGGGCTTGTTCTCCAGACTCTTGATCATTTAGTCTCCTTCCTCTGGCCATATTCCAGCTTGTCAATATCTCTCTTCAATTGTGGTGCCCAAAATTGGACACCACAATTGAACAGTTGCTTCCGGATTTTTACCAAGTTTCTGAAACTTTTTTTTTACTTTTGCTTCTCTATTGTTCTCAATCACATTTCATCTGTCACTAATGAAGCTTTAATTTCCTTTCTGCAATTTCATTTAGGCCATTGTTTTGATCAGGTTTCAGAGTCATTCATTATCCAGCGCAGAGGGGCATGTGTCAACCCAAAGTCATTCAAAGCTCTGTTGCTCCAAAAGAACCATCCATTAGGAGAGCCTTTGGATCTAAGGATCTGCTGAGCTTGAGACATAAGAGCCTGTTGGTTGACTCCTCTTGTTTCTAGTCCTTGCAGAGAAAGGTAGACCAAAAGGCAGACCCGGTATCGTTTGAGCATCGGACACAATCCAGTGACATGATAAGAATGCAAACAATTCACATGTACACGAGGAAATTATCCCCAAGACACCTTCCCGGGTGGAAGAACCACTGTCACAATGGTTATAAAATATTAGCCAGGCGGCAAAGAAGAATCCACGCTGTCCTTTTATAGGACAAACTTTGTCAGGTAGGAAATAGATCTTGTGTGATTTCTTGACACGCGTGACAATGGCACCAAGGCTTGCCGGAGGTACTTTAGGTATCTCCAAAGTTAAACAAAATTAATAATATATGCCAGAAGGAGCACAGAGGCAGATGAAGCCTGGAAAGTGAACAGAAAGCTTAGACCAGGCATGGGCAAACTTGGGCCCTCCAGGTGTTTTGGACTTCAACTCCCACCATTCCTAACAGCCGGTAGGCTTTTAGGAATGGTGGGAGTTGAAGTCCAAAACACCTGGAGGGCCCAAGTTTGCCCAGTATTTAAAAATACTTTTTGTTTTCAAGGATTCTAATGGGCAGCTTTGAAACCGAGCTTGATCAAAGCCCTAGGTATTAAATATTTCCTTCTGACACAGAGAGAGCCTAAACCCCTATCCACTCGCTCCAAACCTTGATTGTAGATCCAGTTCAAGACTGATGCATGTCTGCTACGGAAAGCGAATATTAATACCATTTTATTCACTGAACACACCCGCATGGGTGGAAGGAACTGCAGATGAGACCTTTGTAAGGCACTGGAAATAGGGCGAAAATAATAATAACACCGAGAAAACAATTAGTATTATCTTTTCCCCGCCCTGGACATCTCACAGATATATAAACCCCACTTACCTTGTTTCCAACAGACCTCACAAACTTTGAAGATGCCTGCCTTAGATGTGGGCGAAACGTCAGGAGAGAATGCTTCTGGAACATGGCCATACAGCCCAAAAAACTCACAGCATCCCAAATTGTATTATTATCCATTTTTTTATTTATACCCATTTTATTTCTTTATAGTTTTCTTGTAACTGAAGGGGGTTGTCCATTTAGTCCTTTAACCAAATCGAAAGCTTGTGTCTAGGTTTAACACCAAGAATGTGGATCTCCAGGTGCAGCTTTATTAAGCCGGGCTTTTAGGAAGGGAAACATTTCCATGGGTTCAAAACAAGCGGCAGAGGAAGCTCCTAGGCATCTTGACATGGGGTGTATTTATTTACATAGTAGAATTAATGCGGTTTGACACCACTTTGCCTGGAGCTACACTGCAATATGATGCAGTTTGGATTGTATTCTAGGGTCAGTGTGGACCCATATAATGCAGTTCAAATTCATGGCTATATTCTTTCTTCCACCCTGAACACTCCACAGATATATAAACCCCACTTGCCTAGTTTTCAACAGACCCCTAAACCTCTGAGGATGCCTGCCATAGATGTGGGCGAAACGTCAGGAGAGAATGCTTCCGGAACATGGCCATACAGCCCGGAAAACTCACAGCAACGCAGTGATTCCAGCCATGAAACTCAATGCCACGCAGTCCGGGGCTTTGTAGTCTGGTGAGGCAGCAGGTAACCAAAACAGACAAGAGTTCTTTCTCCCACCCTGGATCTTCCACAGATATACAAACTCCACTTTCCTAGTTTCCAACAGCCCTCACAACCTCTGACGATGCAGGCGAAACGTCAGGAGAGACTGCTTCTGGAACATGGCCATACAGTCCGGAAAACTCACAGCAACCTAGCAGCTACAGACTTTGCAAAAGTATAGTTCCTATGACTCCATAATCCTGAGCCATGGCATCAAAGTGGTGCCACACTACATTTATTCTACAGTGTAGACGCCCCTCTAGGCATCTTAACTCAGACTTCTGCCCGATTAAATTCAATTGGATTGGCTTCCCAAGTATGTAGTAGGAGAGCGACTTCGGTTTAAGCAGGATAATCCAGCAGAAGCGTGGACGGATTCAGCCCATTGTTATATAAATGGCTCGCTTTCATTTCAAGCCCTTTCAATACTAGATAGGATTTGGGTCTTTCTCTGCCCTGCACACATTAAACGGGTCAATGTTTACTTTAATGACCCCACACAGTGAAATACATTCTACAATGTATTGTCGAAGGCTTTCATGGCCGGAATCACTGGATTGCTATAAGTCTTCCGGGATGTCTGGCCATGTTCCAGAGAAGCATTCTCTCCTGACCTTTCGCCTGCACCTATGGCAGGCATCCTCAGAGGTTGTGAGGTCTGTTGGAAACAGACATACAAACCCAATTTTCCTAGTTTCCAACAGACCTCACAAACTGAGGATGCCTGCCATAGATGCAGGCGAAACTTCAGGAGAGAATGCTTCTGGAACATGGCCATACAGCCCAGAAGACTTACAGCAACACATTCTACAATGTTAGATGCACCCTTACCCCCCTCAGTTTCTGCCTCGCTTGTCTCACAAGGTTGTTGTGAACCTAAAGTCCTCAGGAGGAAGAATACCGAGCTTTGGATACAATGGCAACCAATATATACTGGTTATACATGAGGTCACATGTATATACATGATATATATACATGATATATACATGAGGTCACGAAGAGTCGGAGACGACTGAACGAATGAACAACAAATATACTGGTTGCCATTAGTATGTTGTAAACTGCCTTGGATACAAAGACAACCTATAAACACCCATATCCTGGAGTATAATGCAGTTTGGACTGTATTCTAGGGTCAATATGGACCCATATAATACAAACTCGTGGCTCAGTTCTTTCTTCCACCCTGGACACTCCACATATATATATATGGCTAGCTTACACAAATATATACCCACACACATACATACACACACACACATATATATACACACAAAACACATATACACAGACTGGGCCACAGCAACGTGTGGCAGGGGAGGGCCAGTGTGTGTGTGTGTGTGTGTGTATATATAAAAAAACATACACACATATACACATATGTATACATACACACACATGTACATACATATATATGTACATGTACATGTGTATGTATATGTGTGTACATATGTATACATACACCTGTGCATACACATGTACATACACATGTACATATATGTATGTACATGTGTATGTATATATGTGTGTATATACATACATATATGTACATGTGTATGTACATGTGTATGCACATGTGTATGTATACATATGTACACACATATACATACACATGTACATGTACATATACATATACAAACACACACACATACACATACTAGCTGTCCCCTGCCATGCGTTACTGCGGCCCAGTCTGTGTATATGTGTGTTTGTGTATATATGTGGTTTTGTGCATACGTTGTAATGCATTGTTTGGCTTTTAAGCCTCTTCTGCTGTGTTTTCCAGTGTTTTTATGAGTGATGGTCACTCGTTGGCCTGATAGGTGTATTGTGTCCAAATTTGGTGTCAGTTCGTCCAGTGGTTTTTGAGTTGCGTTAATCCCACAAACGAACATTACATTTTTATTTATATAGATGTCAGTGTTTAGCTGTTGTGGTTTTATTTTATTATATGTATGTTGGCATATCTTGCCATGAGTGTGTTGTAAACCGCCTTGAGTCTCCCCAGGGGTGAGAAAGGCAGTATATAAATAATATAGAATAGAATAGATAGATAGACAGATAGATAAGGGTATATATCTATCTATATATACCCTTATCTATATAAGGATATATATATAGAGATAAAGGGGGGGGGGGCGGAGGGACGGTTTACAACATACTAATGGCAAGAATTCAATGCCAATATACATATAATTAAATAAAATCACAATAACTATACATTAAAATCATTCAAACCATTAAACATAGGCATATGCAACATGTAAACACTAAGACAAAGCGTTGAAAACACCCTTATATAATTATTGAAATCACATTACCCAAAATATACTGAGCGTCCCTGCCATGTGCGTACCCTAAACATCTTATAACTCTGATTTTCTTTTTGCAATGTCCCATAACAGGATCAAACACTCCTCTAGGAGGGAAACGACAAGAGAAACTTTGGAGTGAGGCTTGCAACTTGAGGCCACTTCCTTGGAGGCCAGGGCCACGTGACGTCACAATGAGCAGGGGGCGGAGCCCGCCTCTCCTTTCGCCCCGCCCCTTTCATGGCCGCCGCTTCCCTTTGGTTGCCTAGGAGACGAGTAAACATCGCAGCCCAAAGCGAGCAGGCCTCGGGGAAATTGCGAAGGGCGCCCCTCTGCTTTAGAGGCCGATTTGGGGGTGAAATTAAGGGGGTGACGCCTCTCCTCAGTGGGCAGCGACGAAGGGAAGGTTCCTGAAAGCGAAGCCAGGGCGAGGACCCCTCCTTCCCTCCCTCAGGGCCTCCATCCTTGGGCCTTTCTTCCTCTCTTCCTCGGGAGGCTTGGCATTATGAGTCAAAGGCAGGTCTTACAAGGTGATGCGAAGTTTGTGTCAGGAAACTTGGTGTGGTTCTGTTGCTAACTTTGATGTTCTTTTTGGCATTACAGGTGAAGTGAGGATGCCTCTCCTGGAGTGAGAAGGATGAAGACAGGAAATCTGGAGAGAAAAGGCCTTTGTATTTAGAGCAGTGGTTCTCAACCTGTGGGTTCTTTTGACCGACAACGCCCAGAAATCCCAGCCATAGAATCATAGAATCATAGAATCAAAGAGTTGGAAGAGACCTAATGGGCCATCCAATCCAACCCCCTGCCAAGAAGCAGGAATATTGCATTCAAATCACCCCTGACAGATGGCCATCCAATGAAGGAGCCTCCACCACACTCCGGGGCAGAGAGTTCCACTGCTGAACGGCTCTCACAGTCAGGAAGTTCTTCCTCATGTTCAGATGGAATCTCCTCTCTTGTAGTTTGAAGCTATTGTTCCGCGTCCTAGTCTAATTTGACAGTTCAAGAAATCCTAACAACTGTCAAATTGGCTGTCAAACTGCCAATTTGACAGTTGTTAAGATTTCTTGGAGTTGAAGGCCAAAACATCTGGGGACCCACAGGTTGAGAACCACTGATTTAGGGCCTTGCTTCACATACTCCTCTTGTAGAAGTGTTTTACACTCCAGATCCCAAAATCCCCTGCCCAGAGGCTTCTGGGAGCTGCAATCTGGAATTACCTGGAAGACCAGAGTGTGGGAAACATTGATAGAGCCTTGTTTCCCAAACTGGGCTTCTAGGGGCCCTTCCAGACAGGCCCTATATCAGACATGGGCAAACTTCAGCCCTCCTGGGGTTTTGGACTTCAAATCCCACAATTCCTAACAGCTGGTTGACAGTAGGCTGCTAGGAATTGTGGGAGTTGAAGTCCAAAACCCCGGGAGGGCCAAAGTTTGCCCATGCCTGCCCTATGTCCTAAGATCTGATCCCAGGTTTTCTAAGTGGATTAAGGGCCCTTCCACACAGCTCTATATCCCAGAATATCAAGGCTGAAAATCCCACATTAACAGAATGTGGACTCAGATAACCCAGTTCAAAGCAGATATTGTGGGATTTTCTGCTTCGATATTCTGGGATATAGGGCTGTGTGGAAGAGTCCACACTGTCAGATAATCTGGGATAAACAGAAAACCTGGGACCAAATCTGGAAGCGCCTTAGGTGTTTTGGACTCCAGTGTCGAAGTCCCAAATTACCTGTGAGCAATCGTGTTTGGGAATCATGAATATAGAGCCGTTGGGCGCAGCAAAAAAGAAGATGGCGGACCCTGAAGGAAAAAAAAATCAGAGAAGGTTTTTACAGGATTTTATCTTTTCTTGGGTTAAATTTGTTGTATAGCCTCTTCAAAACAGTGAAGTATTATAACATATTTTTTTCTCGGTATTTTTGTTTTTAGACCTGTTTCTGGGGTTATTTGGGACAGTGATTCAGACAATTGCATTGGATAGACCTCATCAGTTCTGGTTTCTTAGATATGGTTATCATAATTTTCTATGGGTGAGCAGATGAAGAATGGTACATTGTATATGTTCTGTATCTCAAAAACTAGAGCTGATAGAGGGAAACTGGTAGATCAAATATGCCCAGAAACAGGGCTAACATTTGAGGCATCAAAATGTGTGTGATGATAGTATCAAGATAGCATAGACTTCTAGGGAGATAATGGGTTGTGGACTTTGTGAATCCTACTTAAAAATAGTGGGAGAAAAACAGGATATTAAATAATTGCTAAATGTAGAAAACATTGGAATGTGTGGCTAAAAGTGGATTCACTCCACCCATCTTTCAAATTTTGAGTGTAAATTACATTTGGCATCTTCCTACAGTCTGTGCCATCATTTATTTCTCAGCCTTCAATATGCCACAAGACATGATTCTGTCGCAAAAATTACAACTCTGGAATTTGCCATGGTCTGTAGTGTAGAACATAGCAAAAGGGGAACCACATCATTCTCTGGGCATATTTGAAGATTTTTGATGGTTGGGCCTCATTGGAAGTCAGTCATTTTACCCTCTTTTCTTTTTTGCAGTCTTTGAACAGTATCAAAGAGCCCGGACGCAGTTTGTGCAGACTGTTGCAGAACTCGCGACTAGGCCACAAAATATCGAAACACTTCAGAATGCAGGTAAGCGTTCTGAAACAAATCTTATCTTCTTGTAGAATCATGAACAGTTTGGCATTTTTAATCTCTTTTCTTTTTATACAATCAAAATATAATCTAAGAAAATTATCAGTGGAGTCCTGCTATTAAAGCCAGTGGATATATTTCAGGTAAATTATCAAGAAAGGCATGTATCTACTATTAAAGTCAGCGGATGTTTTTGTTTTATTTATCCATGCTTTACACTAAGGAAACTCCCAACATATGTGATTATTTATAGGCTGTTTCCAAGTAATGAAGACAAAACAGGAGGTAAGGTTGCAGCTAGCTCCTTGGTGCCTTCCTGCTTCTAGACATTTCTGTTGGAAAGGCAGATATAATGGAGTTAAACAAAAATTTAATGAAGTTCATAGTGTCATAGAGTTGGGCGAGATCACAATGGTCATCCAGTCAAATTCCCTGCCATGCATTTAAAGCCCAGTCAAAGCACTCCTGACAGATGGCTATCCAGCCTCTGTTTAAAAAAATCTTTAATGAAGGAGACTCAGTGACACTCCAAAGCAATATATTCCTCTGTCGAAAGTAAATATTGTAATATAACAATATTGTGGGAACTAGTAATTAAGCCTCAAATACCTCAATTAATGTGTTTAATCACATGGTTGCTAAACATGATGAAAAAGGAGTTTAAAAGCTTGAGCAACGTTAAAGAAAATATCTTTTTCACTTTTTAAATTGTATGTCTCATAGTCAGGGACTAACACAGCTCTGCCTTCTGGATGTTTTCTATTGCTCCGATTAATAATAACCAACCTAGGCAGTGGTCAGGGAATATGGTTTTCATCTGTTTTTTTTATGTTTAGCAGAACTATGTATTGCACAGAATTAAATAATGTCTATGCCCCAGCATACACCCACCAGTTATGATGAATGCAGTCCACAAGTCTTGTATGGTGTTAGACTGGCAGATAAATAAATCCTGTTTTTGCCATATGCTGGGTTTTGCAAAAGTGGGTGTTTACTATTGGACAGGCTATATAATACATGCTGGTAGTTATTATATAGGTCTGAGAACCTCCTAACCAGCGTGGCCATTGTGGAATTCTGAGCATTGCAGTCTAAAAGAGAATGCTTCCAATATCTATAACAAATTATTTAGATTGGGATTTATGAAGAGATAATGTGTGGAAGACGTCATATCCTTTGGCAAGGATAATCCCTTTAAAAAAGGACCTGACAACAAAACTAAAATAGAAAATTAGTTTCATCTAGTCCAGAAGGCAGCTTGATCCCAGATGGTAGGTTTGGACTAAAAGGTCCTAATTTCTATATGTGCATTAATTTTTTTTCTTAGTAATAGGGAATCTATCAGTGAAACTGGATCATTTTTTTTAAAAAATGAATGCATTTCTGTCTATCATAGATAAAGCAGAGTGATAGATTTCAGTGTGTTTTATAAACCTTTAAAACATGTATTGATATGCCGCTCTTATTATATCTGTCACAACAATAAAACACCTATGAATGAACTGCATGTCCTACTTGAGACAGAACTGGATTAAATCCCATGGATCCTGGTACAAAATTATGAAGTTTATTCTGCAAACTAAATGAGTTCATTGCCTCATGGATATCCTTGCGGAGATATGAGCCAGCAGTCCATAGAGCAAATGCCAGGAGTGATCAGCTCTAAAGTCACACATCTCATTTGAGTTCCCCATTAATATTTACATGTATTTACAAATATGGACACACAAATCACATACTGTATACACATAGGCTTGAAAAAAGTCTGTTGTGAGACCCAGTGCCTTTATTATAAGAAACCTTATTTGCTCATGAGAAGGAAGAGTTCTGATCGAATTGATCTATATGGGGAAGATTGCTTCCCTCTCTGTTTATGAACTCTTCCCCCACACTCTACTGAAAATTAGACATTGAGGCTGGGATATAACTCTATTCTTAACATTGATAATGAAGTTCAGAGGAGTTTTCAGCTTATTTATATTATTTGGAGCAACTGTATTTTCAGAGATGCATTTCATAATCAACTTTTCTTACAATGCTAAATCAAAGATTCTGCTGTGGACCCGCTCTCCCTCTTCTGTCTCAGTTGGCAGTTGTGATAACAGATATATGGTAGTAAAAGCATTGCTGAATTTAAAAATAGAATGACCCATTTCCTCCTCTTGCTACATACTGGAACACATCTGCCTATTTAGAGCGAATGGGAAGTCAGAGAGAGGCCTTTGTAGAAGGGTTTGGTTTCGATGTGGTTTAAGGAAGACGGTAAGGCTGTTATCTTTGTCTGTCTATCAGGGCACACCAAGGATATTTTGCTGCCCTAGAAGAAAAGTGGCTATGCTTCCTAGAGGATTCTAAGAATTTTTGTCTCCTAAGAAGCCTTTCTAAGCTTTGATTTGTAGGGGAAAACATCTTGGGGATCTGTTCTGGCCATTTACTTTGTATAGAACTAACAAAACATTTAAGAGACAGAGTTCTGGTTTCTTTATTTTGCGCTATGCAGCATACCTAGAAGTTATGGTGGCATCTTCCATACCTGTGCTGCACACTAAGTAATGAATCTTGTCAACCCCCTGAAGATCAGATTGCTGGTTAAGATAAAAACTCCTATTTTGGAACTTTTGTAGAAAGTGGGAGGCATTACATGCCCTTTGTGGGAGAATGGTGGATTCAATTTAGTCATGTTGTCTTCCCATTTATTCTTTCTCTGTTCCTGGAAGAAAAAGTCCTCTGTCTGACAAAAGTTTGCAGATGTTGGGCTTTGAATCCATTACTTGAGGTTCAGACATATGGAGTATGGGGGGCTGGTGGTGAGAAGAAGCCAGGGGAAAGCACTTCCGCAGATGAAATTGTTCCTGGGATATTGGCAAACAATTTGCCCATCAAATTTTTATTTCTGCTCAGCTGTGATTTATGAACCGAGCCTGTTCGTCTGTTTAATGGTTGTAGGCACTGCCTTTTAAGAATGTCTGCATTATTTTTGCAGTTTCAGCTCTGGGAGTTGGGTCAGAGTATGCCTCATTATAGGCAGCTGGTGGCCAGGCCTTGTGAAAAATGCTGTGGGAGTCGATGGGGAGGGTTATGTATGTCTTGCAGACATTCGTTGCTGCATATTTCAGGTGGTGCATGTCCTTGCTGGCATTTAATGTCTTTTAGAGCCTACTGTCCCTTTTTCACATCATCCAATTGCAGGGGGATTTCAGAAGCTCAACTCTCAAGTGTACTACAAGTGCTATGGTATCTTGTGCTTCCAAGGTTGGAAAAGAAATCCTTCAGATCAGATGTAGCAGCTGCTTGGGATAGCAGAAGGAAAATTTTCAGTCTTTCTCTTAGTTATACATTCTTATATCTCTTGTCTGCTTTTTGTTTTTTTACCAAGGGCCTTCATCCAAGACATGATTTGTTTATTTCTTTATAGAATTGACTGCCCTGTGGCTGGAGTTCTCAATGATAAAACAATGTGACAGAAAACTGAAAAATATTCCTTACAGATTAGAATTTGGCAACAGCAGTAAAAACAATGTGTTAAATGCAAAAGGCAAATATCAAAACTGCAGAAATAAAGGCAATTTTATAATGCAGCTTTAAGAATATATATAATGAGAAGTGAAACAATTACAGTACTGTGCTTCTTTAGCCTGTAGACAAAGACCATTTTGTTTAAGTAGGCTTTTGGTTTATAATGTATGTAACAAAAATGAGGTTTTAATGGAGTAATGTTTTCAATCTTTTTAAAATCTTTTTTACTATGTTTTATCTGAGTACTATTTTAACCTTGTGTTTTGTTAAAGTAAAATGACATTTAATTGTTTTTCAACTTTTGTATGAATATTCTTTAAGCTGTGCAGCATTTTTTAAATATTTGGAAGCCATCTTACTCCTGGTAAGGTAAGATATAAATAAAAACAAAATTAAAAATAATTGGATGAAGGATTGTCTTTCATTTGCAATTAGAAAGAATTTCACAATTACCTTTGGGTTAAGAATTAAAGTTGCCAGTTTGGCTCCAACCCCACCTTTGCCTTCTTTATGATCCTGGCACTGCAATAGATTTTTCCATCTCAATGTCATCAAACGCTTTACTGGTCTAATTTCTTTGTATGAAATAGATCTAAGGGACTTCCCCAACCCCCAAAAACAAGATGGATAAACTAGGATCTGGAATGTGTGGGGAAAATAAAGCTAAGGAAAAGTAACTTACATTACATAGAATCCTGAACCACCCCACTCCCCATACTAACAGATTTTCCCAAAACTTGATCTATTTTGTGGGGGATATGGCCATTATGTTTCCTTTGCATAACATGTTGTTGTGTGTCTTCCAGTCATTTCTGGTTTATGGCAACCTTATGTCAGGTTTTCTTGACAGGATTTGTCCAGAAGTGGGGTGCTCTTGCCTTCCTTGGTGACTTACCTAAAGTCACTTGGTGAGTTTCATAGAATCATAAAGTTGGAAGAGACCTCGTGGGCCATCCAGTCCAACCCCCTGCCAAGAAGCAGAAAAATTACATTCCAAGCACCCCTGACAGATGGCCATCCAATCTCTATTTAAAAGTCTCCAAAGAAGTAGCCTCCACCACAGTCCAGGACAAAGAGTTCCACTGCTGAACAGCTCTCACAGTTAGGAAGTTATTCCAAATGTTCAGGTGGAATCTCCTTTCCTGTAGTTTGAAGCCATTGTTCCACGTCGTAGTCTCCAGGGCAGTAGAACACAAGCCTGAGCTCTCCTCCCTATGACTTCCCCTCACATATTTATACATGGCTCTCATCATGTCTCCTTTCAGCCTTCTCTTTTGCAGGCTAAATATGTCCAGTTCTTTAAGCCGCTCCTCATAACACCTTGTTCTCCAGACCCTTGATCATTTTAACCACCCTTCTCTGGACACATTTCAGCTTGTCAACATCTCCCTTAAATATCGGTTCCCAGAACAGTATTCCAGGTGTGATCTGACCAAGGTAGAATAGAGGGATAGCATGACTTCCCTGGATCTAGATACTTA